TCTTTCGTCTGGTCTGTTTATTTTGCGTTTGGGCCACACAGCAAGTATTTCAGAGGGTGAGCGAGTGCATCTCAGTGAGTGCAGGCTTCTCTGGACTTTAACTTTTAACTAGAGCACCTTCATATATGAAGATTAAAAGTCTAGCACTGAAGTGGGGCCAACAAACAAAGGACAGGAAGAAGAGTAGATGGTGCTGAGTACTATTTCCTTCCCTGTTGTGCCATTGTGCCAGTTATCTTCAATGTCTACAACAAAGCAGTACAAATCATGTAATGAAAAGAATGCAGTTGAAAGACAATCTAAACAGGCTGTGTTGGTAAAATATATTTAATATATATTTCACGTTATCTTTTTTTCTGTGCAGCACCAATAAACTACAGTTCAAATACAAACGCGGCCCTCAGGGGTAGCTACGTTACACCACAAAACCTTTCTAATCTTTACCAATTGCGGTTTGCACTTTTCCGCTTTGACCCCAAGCAGAGCTCGCCTTTAATACAGATGTTGGCGTGACCACAAAGAAATGAATGAAATAAGTATCAGGAGACCTGCAAAAGAGGAACATTTTGTGCTTTGCAGAAAAGAGGCAAAAACCACTTCCTGTGAGTGAATGAGAGAGCCGTCCTAAAAACCACACAGTTTCATAAAAATACCACACACGCTACCTCGATAATGCTGCAGCCTAACATTATAGCTGCCCCTTGTTTACAACACAATAAACCCATACGCTGGAAAGCAAAGAGCACTTGCGCTGCACAAAAAGAAAGAAAGAAAAAAAAACACAATAAGATAACAGTGTCATGTCTCTACTGCTTCACTGACACCCAGCCATGTTTCCAGCCAAAACGCAGGTAAACCCGCACCTGGTATTAGTTAGTGTCATTATTCAGTTATTGTTTCCATTGTTCCTGGAAATATCAAATGAATCCCTTGCTTCCTTGCAGAATAAAACTGCACTAAATTGACGCTACTCTATTCTGTCCAATCGTCCTAGAGTCTCGAGGCAGGTTATTAAGTTACTTTATTGATCACCAATGTGGAGGGGGAAAAAAGCTCATTCAAATGTCACAGAAAAGGAGACAGCATTAATACAGAGACAGCCTGAACGCTCATCTGTCTGACTGAAATGGTTTCAGTTTAAATGTCACTGTGTCTCTCTTCTACGCAGCTTTGACTGTCATACAGTTTACGTCTTCCCGTTAGTGGCAGCAAAGGCCTGAATGGCCATCTGACGAATTCAATTCAATCAAAGTGAAACTGCTGCTTGGTACGCGAGTTGTCCAAAAGCGAACGCTGGGATTACCCAGGGAGGTGGTGAGTCAAACTGTCAAAGAAAAAAAGCAATTCAGCCACTGGCTTTCAGCCCACTCACACTTTGCCTATCCTGCTTTACACATCCCCAGGTACATCCTGTCTGCAGATAAGCAAAGCTCACAGATTATCTTTGCGTGAATCGGAATGCGTCCCATTTGTTTTATCAGCGACTGTGAGCTTGTGGATGCTCATTTGATTATGCTTGCTCTTGTTTATGATTGTAGCTGTGAATGCATTCCCAGGTGGATGTGTGTGTGCGTCTGTTTGAAAGTGTGTGCCAGAGCGAGAAGGTGATTCCCCTGACGGGCACGACAGATGGGGAGGGAGTGGATCTGCTCGTTCTCTCTGCCACCTGAGAGCCACGAGGGTATACAGAGGCGATGCCCGACGCTCAATCCGCTGACAGAGATTGCTTTGTTTTGATTTAGTCGCTCGGCGCAGCACAACAGAAAAGTCAATTGACTATAATTAGAAAAGGATTATATTGTGGTTTCTGGTTTAATAGCAATTAGCAAACTACAAAACACTCAGACGCCAAGCGTTTCATTTTTAGTCAGTACTACAATTCATAAACTGCGGTAGGCTCTGTCAACTACAGATATTTATCTTGCTGTTACAGAGTTTATCTGTGTGTTATGGGTAATCTGTGTTCTCACACAGCCAGCAAACCTGACCATTTGAGTCAAGAACTTTTATTCAAGTTTATGTCAGAAGGCAGGCCCATTTTAGAAAGGGTTTTTTTATGTATCTAAAATGCACTTGATATGTTTGCACTGATACCTACTATAATGTGCGTCACGTCATCATTCTGTTTCTAATCAAAATGCAATTGAAATACATAATCTCAGTACCACACCTAAATATCAGTTCCACCCTTTTTAGTCAGAAGTAATGACGCAGAAGTAATAACGCCCTATATTTGACACATTTTAAGCTATTAGAAAGATTTCTAACCATTTCTTCCAAGTAGAGGAGTTTGAGCATCTCTGGATCTTGCTCACAAGTGAGGCAAGACTTGAGCAGTAGATTGACACGACACAACAATAACGCAGACTGTGTATCAGTCTGTTGCGGTGAAGAGCAGGAAGGCAAAGCTGCAGATTTACCAGATGATCTGCGTTCCTATCCTCACCTACTCTTGAGAAAGCTCATTTCTGCTGTGATCTCATTCTATCAGTCTGTACCTAAAGGGTGTCTAGGCTCTGCCTGAGAGACAGAGGAAAGAGCTTAGTCATTCAAGAGGGCCTCAGAGAGCCACTATTTGAAGGTGGTTCAGGCACCTAACCAGGTGTCTTCTAGGTGAGGTATTTTAGGCGTTTCTGCTACTGAGTATCTCTGCCTGGACTATTGCCCCTTATAAAACAGATGACGGCAGATCATGGATAGTTGGATGAATGGATGGATGGATTGATTGTTACAAAAACTACTATTTCTGTCACTAAAACAAATTTTAAAGTGTGATGCAGGCTAATGGACTCAGCTTTGAGTACAATAAAATCCAACCGAAAATGACCATTTTATGTCCTATTCACTATGTAACTATACCTTTAAAAACTAGTAGGAGGTGGGGTAACTTTCCCACTGTATGTAGTAAATTCAAACAATGTGATATCAAAAAGAGGAAGAACTTCAAAGCAACTAACAATACACACAGAATTAGAGAACTATAGAAATGGGGAAGCAGCAGTTGACAACTTTCTAATAATTATGATGCTAGTTAGCTCTTTGACGTAGCCAGATGCTATCACACAACTTTTACATTTTTTTGGGTACAAAGGAAACAAAAGTGTTCAGATCAATATAAGTGTGTAGGAGTGCTCCCACACTAAACAATCAACAACGTGGCATCGTAGCAATGTGCAGTTAGGTTTCAAAAGAGAAGCACATCCATCTGTGGCACCCACCATCATACAGTCAAACCTGGATGATTCAGCTATATAGATAGTACAATCTCCAAAAATATTCAAACTTCTCCTACTTTTCCCTACCTTATTTAAAATTTCATTCAGCATTTTTTAACAATTTTAATTCAATGCGTTCAGCTGCTGTAGATGATTGGACCCTGAATTTGCTTCATATCTACCCTTTATCTACAGTATGAATGCTTTTATACAGTGCAGAGGAGCATGTTCCTGCCATTATCCCAAATGTCAAAATGAAATTTGGCTCTGCAAAGTGATGACAGTAATCAGCCAAAGTAAGTAAAGATATAGATCCATGCGTCAGTGCCCAAAGCCGCCCTCCGATTGTGACCGACTGAGTTATAAATCCTCAGAAAAACAATGGACCTAATAACACCATATCGGTTCCACATGTCAGAGTCTCTATGTTAATCTCTGATTTATATCAAATCTGTAATTCAAGCTTGTCAACTTCAAGTTCTGACCTGGGACCACCTGCATTTGGAGAATTAGCTAAAGAAATAAAAGCTTGGAAATGTCAGCAGCCTCCAGCTCTCATTCTAATGCATTTATTTAATCAACGTTAGATATGCGGTTACTCTCACTTTCCGATTGTAGACACAGGCTGTTAACATTTATTAGGTTGCAGCTCAAAGCTTGATTGTTTCCTACTCCTCAGCCAACAGAAGTCATTACATATGAATCTTTCACTTTTACTTCTTCTGTATCAGACTCAAAACCTGATTAGGATTCAGCAGACTTCTTCCAATTACTCCATCAACCAGGGTGGTGTTAGACAGTGAGAACATGCATAAAGCAAGAAAGAGATCATCAGTCATCAGGAACGCCGCTTTGAATCAAAGACACGACTCGTCAATGAGGCACAGCCTGTTAGCATGTAGCAGTTATGATAAAAGGCAAAAATCCAACACGGTGCAAGACACCACTCTTGGGGAAAATCGTTGACTGTTGCAATTTCAGGAATGTAAACTGTCAGACGATACGCTGACCCGCTGCCAGCAGACAAAAAAGAAAAGCTGGCCCAGAAAATGTGTTGCAGAACAAGGTTAATTCCACCATGTCCACATTTACTGTCTTGTCAAGACTGAGTGATTCCTCAACCCTCCACAACCCTACAGGGATGTTGCACCAGTTGAGAATGTGTTTGCATAGCACGCATAATGCACTGCCCAAACACACTGTTATTGTTCTCAAAGTGTAGTTTCCTTCATTTGCCACACTGAAAAAGCTGCATACACAGGAAACAGCATATGTAAGAATCATTAAGCACATGCAAAATGCAAAACTATCTAGCATGCGATTTCCTTTGTAAATGAAGTCTGGAGCTTGTTCATACAACACATGTGACCCTTGAGGTGCTTAGGTGGCAAATAGAATCAGGTTTGCTAACATAGCTCGTCTGGAAAGATGAGGAAACGCTCTGGATAGATTATTTTTGATCGTTTTCCAATGTTCTGGACATTCTTGACAGGTGGAAACCATGGGAACCTGACAAACATGTCAGTGCCAGTCAATAAGTGTACAGTTCATATGTACTATATATACAGAAGTCTCCCGAAAAACAACCATAAAAAAACCCCATCAACTCTGTACCTGTGGAAATGAGACACTGTGTTCCAGTGGAAAAGTAACACCAACCACCAACCAGGCTTTTCACTGTCAATATATCACAGTACCATTACACTAACAGATCCCATTGACGAAGTCTGACAGTTAATACAAGCCGCCAGCGTTGTACACAAAGCCATGCAAACTTTTTCTTACCTTGGTTGTCAGCTGCCTTCACTTCAGTGCCCTTTCTTTAGATTTGAATACAGCTTTTATCCCAACACAGGTCTTCGCAGACTCTGCAATCAGAAGAGACAATCTGTGATTCTTCGTGTCTTTGCCAACAAAAGCAAAACATTCACCAGGCCAAAAGTTCCAGGGAGTGAAAAGGCTTTCAGAGGAATCCTGTGAGCCAAATCCTACAGATAGCCACAACTCGAGCACAAGCAAATCCACATGGCCACTGAAGCATGCATGTACTGCTAAGTCAGGGATGACATGGGAGGAGTCTGGGAGTTCAAGAGAGGAAAATCCCCAAAGGAGGCGCAAGGTTTTCTTGTCTATCAAAACCAATTTTAGATCTTCATGTGACCAGCTTACCACTAAAAAGCTTAGCAGTCTAATCCTTCAACCAAATGAATTGTCTAATTCGAGGCTTTGGTCAAAGGCATCAAAGCGCCGTTATAGCATGAATGTTGCCGAACTTTCAAAGGGGCAGGTATATGGAGTATACAGCTCTCCAGTACACTATGCAGATATTCGCTTTACTGTCTGCTTGGCTTCATTACACTTTGTACAAAAAGACCTTTCAATATTAACACCTATTACTGTACATAAACGAAAGACCCCAGGCAATATTAACAGACATCTCGGCCAAGTTAAATATTTTAATCAGTTGCATTAGAAAAACTGAATAATTACCACTCATGCTTCAACACATACTATCAAGGTACTTGCACACTCATGGCGATGCTGATGAACGCCAAGTAAAAAGCAAGCTGAGAGAGAGCATTCACGCTAGGCATACCTGCACTTTTTCTAAAGGCTATAAGCATAATAGAGCTGGTCTTTATATATGACCACTAAAGTAAATTATATTTAACATTGAGTTGTTTTATTCTGAACAGGCCCTTTATATCAGATCAACTGAAGTGATCTGGTAGAAGCAAATTAAATAATGTTTTGTGTGTGTTTGTGTTTCGGACAACACTAACTCAGTCTGATAAAAATGCCAACTCAAAATGGCTCGATTTTATTTAGCTTATTTTTTGATCGTGAAAAAGGGGGATTGAAATGATTAATTAATACATACAGGCAGTGAATGCAAGAGTATGGGACGAACAACCACAGATAATTGAGCCTCGCAATAGCTCAGCTAGGCATGCCAGTAAATTTATGCTCACAATAGTTTCACGCACGCTCTAATCATGTATAGCCATGGCCTACCTCTCCCCATAGGCGATGCGTACAACTGTGCTGACCTCTGTATCCTCGCTCTGCATGACTTCATGCTTTCAGCTATTTAACTCCCTCCAACTCTCCAGCCTCCCACTCTATTAGCATTTAATTGTATATAAACTGCAAAAATGTTTAACACATGCCCATGTTCATAAGATGCTGTATCTCACACCCTGTGGGAGGTGGGGGGTGCAGAGGTTGGTGCCCACATTAATGTGTACTGTGTGAAAATAGAAACAAGCACAAAAAAAGTCTGTTTTACAGCATCACATGAGCGGGGCTACAGGCTAAGATGAATGCATGTGAGTTTCTGAAATTGAAGACAATAGTTCAACCAGAATGTAGTCAGAAAATATGCCAATGACATGGCAAGTTTCACAACTCCTACAAGAAGGCAAAAGGTTGGGCCTTCCTGGGGATTTATGCACAACTACATGTAGGGTCGACACAGCCCGCTACTATTGTCAATGAGCTGTCCGGTACTGTCAGTTCCTCTTGTTTGATTTCCAGCCAGAAAATATCAGTCATCCTCTTTTTACAAGGATGCAGGATATGTTATAGGCTCTGCAAAGATTCACCTCAGAAATCTAAATCTGGTGGATTGTACAGCAACATTGATCCTGTGTGAGTTTGAAGTCTTCTTGTCATTGTTTTAATGGCGCCGAACCAACGCATTGCCTTTTTCCTACTGTTCTTCCAATAACGATGTCCTTTTTTAATGACTATTCTGTTCTGATGACATGTTCAAAGTTGGCGTGTCATATCTTTTGTCTTTCCAGTGACGTTGATGGCTTGATTTCTTCCAAGATTGATTTGTTGGTCCTTCTGGTGGCTGTCTATGGTTTTAATAAAATCCTTCTACAGCACCACGTACAATTTGTCGACTGTCCTGTTTTCCCCAGGAAAACTTTCCCCAACTATAGGTCCCCATGGAGAAAAAAAAAGTGAAAATCAATGTTTTCATCGGCTAAGAAATGTCCTTAGATTTGAAGACCTTATCCAATGAGTTCGTCGTTGCCTTGCCCACTGCGATTCTCCTTTGACTTCCAAGGTAAATGAGGCCTCAGAATCATCATTGATCACAGCAAAAAGTTAAAAATAAGTAAGTATAATAGTAGTAACAATAATCTGAATACAGCTAATGTCAACAGTGCAAAACATCAGGATCCTTTTTAAGGACGCTACTGTTACGTACACACAAATACGTTCACATGCTTATATGTCAAGAGAATAACAAAGTCCGGAAAACAGATGCCTCCCGAGCGTAGTTAACAATGTGACATGTAAAGAAATACGTTCAAAGCTCTGACTGAGATATCCACACACAACTGAACACACTTGGTATCTTTACATCATAATCTTCTGTTTGGCATACTAGATATATTTCCATAGCTTGTATCATTATCTGATGACTTTCAGTCGCAGACGCACATCACCGCTGACACTTTTCCTCTTGACCTGACAGGCAGCACACATAAAATCATATCTTGCACTGAAAAGATAATGATGAAGTTATTCATTAAAAGACAGCTTGTTGGCGGCACAATCAACGGGAATGAGAAACAGAAATGGTGGCCTTTGGGTGTTAGATGTTGTCTCACAGCTGTTGCTGCTTCACAAATTAAAATATAAAGATATGCAGAGGCTACGTGGATTGATTATTCTCATTTTCATTTTATGCTGGGAACACACAAAAAACCACGGTGACAGCTAATAACTTAAAAGGTACTTTTGGCTACACTTTTTTCACCAAAGGGTCGCTACAGCAGATGGATCTGGGTGTTTTCCTTATTGTCCAGGTTTGTGATGCAACCCACCCCCAATCTATCAGGGCTTGGGAACAGCATTAGTGTCTCCTTCCAGTGGTAGCCAATAAAATAATGGACCTAAAAACTTACACAAGACCTCACCACACCTAATCTCAGTGAACTAATTTCAGAAGCAGTTTGTTAGTGCTACCTAATGCTTGTAAAGCAGGGAGGTCTATTAAAAGGCCTTTAATTTTTAACAGAATGAACCAGAGAGGCCAAGCCTTACTACTCATGGACTGATCAAACGAAAAAAAAAAAGGATTGTACCATCATCCAATCACGCACAACTTCACACCGGATCTCTTCGATAAATTAGCTCTAAGTTGAAGAAATGTACGTTTCTGCAACCAATACTCTTCATTTGATAAGAGTGATCGAGTTTGGCAGCCATGCATTTGATTGTTCAGTTAACCCATATGCTAACCCAGCTCTTAGGACTTGGGGAGGGATAAATATGCATCCTCACAGGTGGCAGAGAGAAGAGGTAAACCTGACAGGAAACCTACATTATAAAATCTATTTAAAAGAGAAATAAGTTGGTGTTTGTAGTTAATGATACTTTATTTTGTGCCGTACACTAGTGCTGGTATGCAAGAAGGGTCCAGACGTACCAAGCTTTAACTTATTAACAACGCTAGCAGTCATTGCAGCAAACTCTTCAGCGGCGCTTTCCTCCCCATGCGACATTTTCCATAATGCACCGTGCTGAGCTCACCAAAAATCATAAAGGATCAATCAGACTCCAAAACAGACTTAAAGCAATGAGCTGCGTTCAGGATCAACATGTTAAACATATTAGAGAATTAACAGCTATTTTTAGAGTTTTTATTAGAGTGTAGACTGGAAATCAGGGAGAGGGTAGGGGGCACACACACTGTACCCTTTACCATATAGTCAAACTGCTGAACCAGGTGAGCTACACCAGCACCCTGCTAAGCTATAGCTTGATGTAAATCAAAATGTAAACGTTATTCACGCACTTGTAGGCTCATCCAACCAAGATCTCACTCTGTGAGTCTCGTTCCCTTACAAGTTCTCTTGCTACATGTAAGGAGACAGCACCTCTCCAGATTTTTGTTTTGCTATATGAAAACCCGGTGCTTTATTCTGAAAGAGCTGGAACACAAAAAGAAGATGCTATTCGGAAAGAAAATCCACAGAGCTTGAAGCTCATTGGATAACGCCTAAGTGCTAAACAAAACAAAGGACTTACATGGAGTAACGCATACTAGGAAGGCTTTATTGCACTGGAGTATTAGACAGCTCATTTCTTTATCAGCATTGATTAATCTATTTTGATAGCCAACAACCGGCTTTAGCAGTTGCACCTTTATTGCACTACTATTGTTGTGGTGTTTAAACACGGGCATAAAAATATCACCCGAGCCAAACATCATTACTTGAGTAATTTGTCTGAGCAAATAAAAGATAAGCAGGGAGCAGAGAGTATATGAGCTTCTCATTAATATTCCTGCCTCCGATCGTGATGCACAAAAAGAACAGGTGATACAAAGAGGAGTAAAAATGCTCTTTTTCTAACTTGTCAGCCTGAGAGAGACTGACTTGTTTCCTCAACAGCATAACATGTCTTCACATGAGCTTCATTCTTGTGACATGCTTTGGTGCACAGCGACACACAGCCACACCGAGAGGTCAATGTCTGATTTAAAGGTTCAGCAGATGTTCACAACAGATTACGTATGCGGCAGTTTTAAAAGCATTAAATAATATCAGCTGTTCCTTGAGGCTTTTTCCCTTCTTTCTTTTTTTTTTTTTTTTTTTTTTTTTCCCCTTCTTTCTTGAGTCTCACCACATAATGAATACAACACAAGCCCCCTTCATCCCAGATGCTTGTTTGGAAGATGTTTGGAAGATGATATAGCAAATATAACTGGATTTGGGGCAGAGTTTCCATATTTTAGCAGTGACTACAACTGATGCTTTTAGGATGAGTAAACCCAGTGATACTATGCTAGGATGTTTTTGTTGAATCTGCAAATGTGAGAGATTTGGTGGCATTTCTGTCTACA